ATTTTTTCTTTTAATTCATTAATTTATTTCATTATTTTTTACCAATTTTCTGCCGCCAATGTCTGCTAGAGTCTATGACAAATGATATTGCAGTCATCAAACTTGTTGAAATGGATATCATCTGTTCACATTTTTTTTTATTTTGCAAATTTAAGTAAATTTTTGATGAAATCTTTGACTTTCTTTAAATATAGCCTACCGCCGAAAAAGCCCGATTTTTATTTGCTTTTTTTTTTAATATAGCCTCCTACAACTCGAATAAGAAAGAGGTTTTTCTTTTTAATTTGAATGTCTGACAATCCGGAATTCAGAACGAATCCTGACGATTTTTACCCATGTGACAAGTCATAGATCTGATGCAGATAAAAAAATCTGTTTATTTATATACTTCATACCGCAGATTACATGATACATGTATCAGTTTTGAGAAGATGAACGAGCAGCTAGAGAACCTAATGTTCCAGTCTGACCGGAAGGCAGATTTCAGTCCACGTGCTCATCTATGTATACTAACAGACACACTTCAAGTCACTGGACCTCTGCACGTGATGATCACAGATCTCGTGCACACATGCTTGTCTAACTATTTCCTGCCTCACAGAGATGCTGCCAGTGTATCTTGGGTAAAAAGGTAAACAATCGTGTTTGTATTCATATTGTAAATTTATTGAATAAAAATACTACGCAGCAATATGATCTCCACCCGTTGCTCTACCAAACACGGTTTACACCAGAAAGTCTTTTAGACAACTGTCTACGCATGCGCAGTACGTAAAACCTTACGTTTCTCACGGGTCTGACAAATGTCACGCCACACCGGTAGCACGGGGGCAGGGGACATATTCGTATGATGGCCCCGTCAAATTTTTTAATAACTCAGACATGGTGTTTTGAAGGTACTGATAACTTCTGATATTTCTCTGTCATTGTAATTCTTTCTTGTTTGTGTGTAGGATATGAGATATATTTTTGGGTTTTTACCCGAAACTAAGCATTTTGGTAGCTTTGTATGTATTTCTGACTCTCCGAATGGAGGTGAAAAAGTTAAAAATCAAGCTTTGACAGTTGGCGCCAAACAAGTAAGAAATTTCAGATAAATTTTGTGAAAAATCTAAAAGTATGACAGACACTTTATTTGTCATTTCTGAAAATGCTATAGCTTGCACTGCGTGTTACTGATATTTTTAAAGGAATCGGGCGGATTCTGGAGTATGCTGCACCTTCATGAAGATTGCCCATATTGGTATATTTTAGGTGTGATTTTGGTTGGGTGGGGGTAAATATAAATTGCTGTCAGTCATTTTTTGAAGGAGCAATGCATGCAAACTATTATTTTCTTCAATGTATGTCATATATCATTGAATAATGCTGTGCAACTGGTTATCTGCCTGTGAAACAGATTTTGAAATATTTGGAATTGTGTTTCTGGTCACACTGAAATACAAAATTTTTCATTTTTATGTCCCCTGCCCCCTAAATCAATTAAAATAGTTCAAATTAGTATGATTTGTTGCGGGTTAGTCGAACATTCCTCGTAATTCATTCAAAATTATAAAACGGAACTATCTTCTACGAGGATGTTTATGTATGAACTGGATACTAAGTAGTTATCTTAACTTTGGATTGTTTTATGTAATTAAATAATTTATTGATTCCATAAATGAGACAAATTATTACAGTCAAACATGTAATTAAAACACTTCTGAATAGAGACCACCATGTAAACAAAGACCATTTTTCGGAAAACCTTAATTGACAAAAACACAACAGAGTAAACTCTGAAAAAATACCACTTGTACATAAAGATCATGCATGGTCTCTCCTTTGCTGGGCATTTTATCACAGGTTTCACTGTATGTCTCAGATACACTTTATTCTATCAGAACAACTGTTTCAATATCTAACACTTTTGAAAAAAACCCGGAGTATATGCCTACTGAATAAGCGGATGCTTTTCCGCATAATATTTTAATCCATTTTTATCTTTATTTTACGTACATTTGCAGAGCGACATCCTTTGGGTGACCACAATTTTGAAATTTGCTGAAATTGAATGCTTAACCCATTACTTCATATACACGCCTTTTAACGCCTTTTTCCCCCCCCCCCCCCTTTTTATTGTCTCAAATGATGAAAAAATGCCTTATTTAGGCTCCAAACACTTGTTTTTGTTTGAGAAATGTTGTTAAAAAAAGTGACCTCTTTTTCGGCGCGGCCCCCCAACCAAAAGATACATCAGGGGGTTGCCAGAAGGGGGATGTGCCCCCTTCTGTTTGGGGGGTTTGAAGGGGGGCGGAGTCCCCCTCATCGCCAAGAAAATTTTGGACTTGTGAGAGGCTGTAAATGACCCCAGATTGATCATAAGGTAACGTGTAACCAACGCTGAAAAGCATTTGACTCTATCTCAATTCATTGAAAAGATGCAGCACTTTGAAATCAATTTTGATGGAAAAAATCAACGCAAAATAGTGATTTTTGGCAATTTTGAGATGTCCCCTCGTTGCCATGGTAACAGAAAATTTCAGCCTGAGCATGTTGTTGCAAGGGCAATGGTCCAGTCAACATTTGTGCCAAGTTTGATTAGTGTTGAAGCAGTTTTTATAGTATTATAGCAATTTGAACTTGTAACGGGAGACTTTTCAATGAAAACAGCCATTTTTCACAAAATGCTCATGAAGTAATGGGTTAATGAAAAAAATAAAAAAATCTACAAAACAACAATTTTTCTTCAAATTTATATGACAGACCATGTTTAAACATGAAAAAACGCGATTTAGGGTAATTTCAAGTATTTTCATCATTTTCAGTTAACCCATTACTTCATATACACGCCTTTTAACGCCTTTTTCACCCCCCCCCCTTTTTATTGTCTCAAATGATGAAAAAATGCCTTATTTAGGCCCCAAAAACTTGTTTTTGTTTGAGAAATGTTGTTAAAAAAAGTGACCTCTTTTTCGGCGCGGACCCCCAACCAAAAGATACATCAGGGGGTTGCCAGAAGGGGGATGTGCCCCCTTCTGTTTGGGGGGTTTGAAGGGGGGCGGAGTCCCCCTCATCGCCAAGAAAATTTTGGACTTGTGAGAGGCTGTAAATGACCCCAGATTGATCATAAGGTAACGTGTAACCAACGCTGAAAAGCATTTGACTCTATCTCAATTCATTGAGAAGTTGCAGCACTTTGAAATCAATTTTGATGGAAAAAATCAACGCAAAAAAGTGATTTTTGGCAATTTTGAGATGTCCCCTCGTTGCCATGGTAACAGAAAATTTCAGCCTGAGCATGTTGTTGCAAGGGCAATGGTCCAGTCAACATTTGTGCCAAGTTTGATTAGTGTTGAAGCAGTTTTTATAGTATTATAGCAATTTGAACTTGTAACGGGAGACTTTTCAATGAAAACAGCCATTTTTCACAAAATGCTCATGAAGTAATGGGTTAAGATAGCAAAAATTTATTGTGAAGTCTTTCTTTCTGAACAATTGATATATACTGTTGTTGTAGATAGATTATTACTCTACAGTCAGAGGTTTCCCTGTCGAGGTTCCACTCTATTTCTAACTGCATATAATTGCTTTTTTTTTTTTTTTAAATTCTAGCCACTAATCATAAATAAGTCATCCATCTTTTACCGAAAACTGGGACTGCCAAAATAATTTTATCACATACCCGTGCCGATTTTGCGAATCCGTAAAAATGGTATTGCACGACCGTGCATATATTTTGATGTGATGTCAATTGCGTTATACATAGTGAAAAGACGCACTAAATGTTAGTGTTATACTATAGGCGCGTCAAAGAAAAATGAATCTATTTCACTTTAAACGGTCTATATTTTGGCTATGTGATAAATAGAATATTAAATTCGTGAAAGTTCATTACTAAATTTATTGAACTCGTTGAATAAAATAATATTATGATCGCATAATATTATTTCATTAAATTCCAACGAGTTAAATAAATTCAGTAATGAACTTACACTCATTCAATTTCCTCTTTATTTTCTTACTTCAGGGATAATATGAGACAAAGATTGGTTAATAAAACAGATGACAACGTTGATTTCCATGAAGAATTGACGGAGATTGCCGGGCATCTGGATGACGCAGACGCTGTGTTTTTCATCAATGAAGACGCTTCCATCTTCATTAAAACACATCGAACTTCATTCCTACACACGTTAGCAACGTGCTTAAGGTCAACTCCTAATAAAATTTTGGTTCTTGATATATGCTTAAAACCTTTAAATATTTTGTAACACAGATATATAGTTATTATAATATAAAAGTTGATAGTAAATTCATGTTGAATAAGTTGTTTATGAAATATGACCTCCCATTATGCTCTCAAATAAGTGTGTGAATTCTCATACAATTTCTTCCTTAGTTTTGGAGATACCAATTTGCACGCAAAACTTAACCAAAGTGCAACAAGTCACCATAAACCCTTTGGCGAGTAAAATGGCTTTTCCTTCTCTTCACACAGTCAAGCTAAAAATAAAATTACAGTAAATCAAAGAAAGACTTTGTAACTTTTTCTTATGAAATTTATTCCTTCATTTCCAGAACATAGTACTCGACTAATTCCAGCAAATGTCGAAACACCTGCTTGGGTCCTTTCATTTCATACAACAGTGAAAGTAAAATATTTATATATAACAACATTATACACTGCCATTATTCATTTTCATTAATTAAGAAGTATTAGAGTAAATATGAATAAGGTTAAAATGAGATCCTACATGCTGAAATATCGGGCAATGGGCATAAAATCATTAAAACACCCATAATACCCTGCCTATTCATACATATGACGCATTTTAAGTATTATACAACATAAAACATAACATTAAAGGCACATCATGCCTCAGAAATGAGTTTCTTCTATAGAAAGGGCCAACATGTTTTTACAACATATAAGGTACTTATCAAATGAAGTAGTAATTAAAAATGAAATGATTATAAATAATCAATTAATTCACTAAAAAAAGCAAAAGAAGTTCAATTTGGTAAAGTTCTTCTGCAAATGAGTACTTTTTTTCGGAAATTATAACAGGAAACTAAAAATAAGAAAGTGTGATAAATGAAAAAAAAATGAAATAAATCCTGAAGCATACTGGGTCTTAAATATTGTTTTACTTGTAATTATTGTAATCATTTTTATTCAATAAAATTAAATAAAAAAGCATTTCTGGAGCAGACTGGGTCTTTAATAATGTTATACTTTCTTGTAATCATTTTAATTAATAAAAGACATCACTTCCTATAAAAAAACCACATAGACAAATAACATAAATCCAGTTTAGCAACAAACCCTAGCTTTCAAGGGCCATAACCCCTTACAACATTAATGTTTTTTATTTACATATACATATTAAAGATCAATTTTCATAACATAGTCCATCGTATGATTCTAAATACAGATTAAATAAAGTTTTCAATCACTTAAAAAAGTTTCACACCATTTACAAATGATACTATTCCTGACATTCAAGTTCTGAAAATTTCATAAAATATGTAAGTAAAGTTCTAAAATTTTTTTAAATAAAAACAGACATGATGAAAAAATTCAAGCCATCAAACTATCAAGTGCCATTACATTACAAATTCAGTAAAAACAGAAATTACAAATTCAAATGATTCAATACAAAATGAATTACAAATTTACATTCATACACTAAGAGATTTAGTGTTTACTCCTTTAAATATAACATGAATTACAGAATCAAATTTATATGTGCTTACAGTCTCATTTTCATATGCATTACAGATTTAAAATTCAAAACTACATGTCATAAAATTCAAATTTCAGATTTAAATTCACAGATTAGCAATTTGACTAAATTTTAAATCACCTTAAGTTATTTCTTGCATGAAGATCTGATGACCACCATATTTGTTTCGCCTTCACTGTGATTCGGATTTCCCAAAAAAAATATTTTTAGCCATGCAATCAAACTATCCTTTACAGATAGGCATTAGACAAAGTATCAAAATATCACTGTACTTGGAAGTAAAACATATTGTTAATTTTTGTTTGAAAAAAATGTTTGAAGTAATTTGAAACATATAAACACAATTTTTAATGGTTTAGATTGTTTGCCAGTTTACCAGCCAGCTATATGGACAACGCCATATTTTTTTCTAAATCATGAAAATTACCTTCTCCCTATTGGTTACCCAGCTGCTAAAATTAGAAACCGCATCACATTCAAAATTAAGAAAGCTTGCGGATGATTGGCTGTTTGAAAAGTCACAAGAAGGTGACAACCAATTGGTGGTCATCAGATCTTAATGCATAGCTTCAATTAGAATCTGATTTTAATCAGATTGATGGATTAAAATACAAATTGAAATGAAATACAATTACAATTTCATATGTATTACAATTTCAAGTTCCCTAAAAATTATTTGCAATATTGCATCAAGTTAATGTCATTCAAATACAAAAGAAATGTTAAAAACTTATGCTAATTGGTTCACATTTCTATTATTTTACACAGTTTACTATGGGCAAAAATATTTTCTTTCACAATGACCAACATAACAAAATGGCACATGAGCCAAATTGGACAAAAAGTTGCAGAAGTGCTAATTTCCAGTTGTTTGTCCCATTATAGAACAAATGCAGTTTAAGTTTGCTATAAAATAAAAGAAGGCTAATGTTTGAAATAACCCACAATTTCACAAAGATGAGGAAGTGCAAGGATTGTTTTCTTTAACTTAAAGATCCTGTATCATGTAATTAAGGTTGTTATCACACTTAAGTGAAATTCTATATATAGAAATGTGAACCAATTGGCATGAGATTTTAACATTCCTTTTGTATTTGGATTTATATGTCAATGTATCTGAATTTGTTTGGTACAAACTTGATAGAATACATGTTTCATCCAAGTCTGCACAAAAAGTTCCCGCTTTTCAGGGAGCTTACATAACATAAATTTCATCCGCACAAATGAATGTTGCAGAAAAATAACAAGTGACCCCATTTTCTTCAATAATATGACCAACTAACACTGTTTTTTTTTTCTCGAGTGTTAAATTCTTTTTATATTTGTTACAGTAATTTCATTGGAAAACACAACAGTTTGTTCAGAATATTTGTGGAGCAACAGTGAAGATACCGTGCCAAGATCATTGTCTCCCAGAAAAATTTAATTAGTTAGTAATATGTAAATGGTAACTGTAATATTGAAGTGGTTTATTGGACTGATCACTAATATTGGACTGGTTACTGTAATATTGAACTGATCACTGTAATATTGGACTGGTCACTGTAATATTAAAGTGGTTTATTGGACTGATTACTAATATTGGACTGGTTACTGTAATATTGAACTGATCACTGTAATATTGGACTGGTCACTGTAATATTAAAGTGGTTTATTGGACTGATTACTAATATTGGACTGGTTACTGTAATATTGAAGTGGTTTAATGGACTGGTCATTGTAATATATAAATTGGCACTGCAACATTTATTCAACTCAAGATCTAAGGGCACAGAACTGTTGAAACACCTCCAGGATATGAATGTCAATGTCACTGGTGAATAACAAACTCTCCAAGGTGTTTATATACTTAAACACCAAACTGTGGTGCTGTAAATAGAAAAAAAATAAACAGGTTTTACTTTTTTACGCTAAAGAATTTGATTACAAAAAGTTTACAAATTCAACATGCAAAAAATCCTAATATCAACAACTAGCAACCTTTTCAGTGATTGTATTTTCTTGACTGTGATTGAGACATGATCAATCATGAGATTGAAACACAATCTATTTCAGCAAGATGATGTTAGTGTGGTGCCCAGACCCCTGTAGATTTTACTTCCAGAATTTGGAGATCTCACTTTATAGGTCAAGGTCATTTAGCACTTAAGGTGTGCTGTCTTTTTTTTTGTTTTGTTTTGGGTTTTACGTCACATCGACACAGTATAGGTCATATCGCGACGTTCCAGCTTTACTGGTGGAGGAAGACCTCAGGTGCCCTTCCGTGCATTATTTCAGGCACGAACGGGTACCTGAGTAGTGTGCTGTGTCAAAATCTAATATAGGCGCTAGCTCACAGACTGAAAATGTCAAGGTCAAAGTTAAAAATTGTCAACAGAGAGACAAACAAACTGGCCAAAAACAATGTCACTGATCTATCAATCGATGTTGGCATAAAAATTTCCTTTTTAAGAAATAAAACAACACAAGAATTGAGCACTTACTAGAAGGAACACTTCCTGAAGTCTTTCAATGACCCACTTATACCAGGGCGTCTGATAATCTATACCTTCACTCTCACAGCGTGCTAAATGGTCCGTCAATATTATAATAAACCTCTGAAAACAGATTAAAGGACACATTAGATTTAATTATGCCTAGCAACTACGCTGTAACAGTTACATAATTGTTTATTTGTTTAATTGGGTTTTACGTCACAGCGACACATTATATGTCATATGGCGACATTCCAGCTTTACTTGTGGAGGAAGACCTTAAGTACCCTTCTATGCATTATTTCAGGCACGAACAGGCACCTAAGTAGAACCACAGACACTCCATAAGCTAGCTGGATAGCTTCCTCACATGAAAGAATCCAAAGTCCCTGTCGGGATTCGAACCCACAGCAATAAGGGGCAAGTGGTAACATTTACATAAAAGTATACCAATAAATTAACATATCATGCTAGTAATACTATATTTTGACATTGTGCTTGACTATTCTCAGGGCTTGATAGTTAAACAAGAGCTTGGATAAAGTAAAAAAAATAAATAAAAAGAATTCAAAAGGGCCATAATTCTGTTAAAATCCAAGTTAGAGCTCTGGACCTCAGATAGTTACCCCATATTATGCTTTCAAATAAGGGTGTGAAGTTTCAACCTAATCATATTTACTATCCTCAGTGCTTGATAGTAAAACAAGAGTTCAAAGGGGCCATAATTCTGTCAAAATCCAAGTTCTGGGCCTTGCATTGTAACCCCCTATTAGGGCCTCAAAAAAGCATGTGAAATTTCAACAAATTTCCTTCAGTAGTTTTTGAGATAACAAACTGCAAGCAAAAATAGAACCGAAGTGTAACACCGAAGCTGTAGCCTGGTTGAGTACAATCACCGCCTCTACACTGAAATTGTTTGTTAAATTGGATTCTACGTCACACCAACACATTAAAGGTCATATGGCGAAGTTCCAGCTTTACTGGTGGAGGAAGACCTCAGGTGCCCTTCTGTGCATTATTTCAGGCATGAACAGGCACCTGAGTAGAACCACCGACGTTCCGTAAGCTAGCTGGATATATTGTAAACATCCGAGCTACATGTAATAATACCTGGAATATGATGAGAAACAATCGTTTCTGTTGATTCTGGACAAGTTCAAGTCTTTCTTCCATGCGCTCCACCATTTCCTCCGTGGGTATCTCATCGTCCTCCTCGTAATCTAAACCATCCGCCATCTTGAAATATACAAGTTATCATAATTAGTTACGACCATTAAAAATTGTAACGTATATTTTCATGTATTTCATGGATTTTTATTCATTAACAAGAGCACCACATGCTCTGTAAACGCCTGCCTGTAAAGGCCACTGACTATAAAAAACCAAATCTAACAAAAATTCTAAGTTAAAAAGGGGCATAACTCCAACAATACAGTTTTCAGAATGATACCCCTTGTTTTATGACTGTATCTTGTCATGATAAGCAATTATGCTTAGTTTCATGTTGATACCTTTTGAAATGTTTGAATAATGGGGTACATAAAAGAACTTAGAAAAGCGGAGCTAATAACACAATACAATAAACTATTCATTTTCTACAACACAATGAAAACACTATCAATATCATGACAAGACTGTGTAAAAGACAAACTTTTTTCTTCGCAGCGTCTAACAAATCTCTGGCGTCCTCAGCCTCTTTCTGAAGTTTTTCAACATGTTTACTCATCTTGTTGATTGTCGAGTGCATTATCTCCCAAACATAGTTCCTGTAACAGAACAATAGTGTATAGAGATACATAGTTCCTGTAACACAACAATAGTGTATAGAGATACATAGTTCCTGTAACAGAACAATAGTGTATAGAGATACATAGTTCCTGTAACACAACAATAGTGTATAGAGATACATAGTTCCTGTAACAGAACAATGGTGTATTGAAATTAAACAGAGTATTAGTTGCAATAAGTTTTGTTTGTCTGGTTTTTGCACTGATTTTAACACATTTTTGGTCATATCTTGGCAGTCAGTCCACCAAACTGGCTATGCTGGATAACTACTCAGTCATTAATCTTGGATAACTAACCATTACTAAATCCTGGATAACTAACCAGTAATTAATCCTGAATGACAAACCAGTAATTAATCCTGGATAACTAGCCAGTAATTAATCCTGGATAACTAACCAGTAATTAATCCTGGATAACTAGCCAGTAATTAATCCTGGATAACTAACCAGTAATTAATCCTGAATGACAAACCAGTAATTAATCCTGGATAACTAACCAGTAATTAATCCTGGATAACTAGCCAGTAATTAATCATGGATAACTAACCAGTAATTAATCCTGAATGACTAACCAGTAATTAATCCTTGATTACTAACCAGTAATTAATCCTGGAAAAATAACCAGTAATTTATCCCGAATAACTAACCAGTAATTACAAACTTTTCCATAAGTGACCTAGTATGTACCCCATTTTTTTGAATCAGCAATGAGAAAATCAGCAATGAGAAACAAATGACCTAATGTCTGAAGTAATTTTAACAAAACAATTTTGCCTTGCCAAAGGATAAAATCTGTGACAGAAAGATGCTTACAGATGTTAATAGATGTTTCATAAAGGCAAAGTGGTAAAATAACTAGCATTGAAACACAAACCTGGTGAAATCTGGTGCCATGTCGGCTGAGAAGAGCCAGTTAGCAACAGACGAGCACTCTACGATCTGAGTCTTCAGAAGTTTGTCTGTCAGAACTACCATCATCTAGAAGACATTTAAAGATATGTATTTCGAATCATTAAAACAGCATGCCTCCAGATTAATGCTTATTTTCATGAAAATTTTCAAAATGAAATTAAATATATAATATTGTATAGTAAATTAAAGAAAGCAATTTACACATTATCAATGACACTTACAACCCACGTTAATTACAAAAAGAGGTCAAAATATGAAAAATATGCCCTTACTGGGTTAATAAGGCAGTATAAATATAGTTACACATAATGAAAAAAATCACTATTAATCGCCCATAACATGTAAATTATTACTTGAATCTTGAATCTGTCTACTTTTCCTTAAAATCTTAGTACATTTTTCACAAGTTTCATTTATTGAAATATTTTCGCTCATCTGGAAAAGTATATTATGCCTATCAAAGAGTAAATGGTGAGTGCACAGGTAAAAGTCAAAATAACTTTACATTTTGACATTATTGTGTTCAATTTTATATTTTACTATGCAAAAATAATCAATAATCTGCAAGACACACTAAAACTTCTATAAATATCATTCGGAATGTATCGGTTACATTCATTTTTTTAAAAAGAGTGGAGCAGTCTTTTTAAAAAATTTTTTAAACAAGAACCTGTGTCTGATAAACACAAATGCCCCCGCGCTCACTGTTGTCAATAATTTAACTTTATAGAGTGAAGTAGCTAATTTGTATGGAAGAAAACCAATCATGTGTAGAAATCTGTAATTGGCACCCTTGATCTTGACCAACTGACCCCTACCTCTATCAAAAGGAAGAATATCATGCAAGTTATTTTCCTACCAAATATGAAATAAATCTGTCAATAAATAAAGGCTGTATGGGCAAAAGTGTAAACAAGAAACATGGGAATGCCATGAAACCAGGTTTTCAATTATCACCATTATAGATAAATATGTTGAAGTTGAAATAAAAATACAAGCAACAAACAATGTAACTATGTGCAATGTAAATCATGAATAATGTAGGAGGGATTGCACACAGAAGAAGTGTTCACTATATATTCTGTATATGGGAAAAAAACAAAAGGCCATAATTAGGTCAAAAATTATCCAACCACAAAACCCCAACACTATGTGCCAGGGTACTTGATGACAAAGCTTTTGTGAAAGTTAGAACAAAATCCGTTGAGAAATGTAGCAGTTGAGCATAGAAGGAATTGTTCATTATATATTCTGTATAAGGAAAAAAACAAAGGGCCAAATATTATCCAATCACAAAACTCCGACAATATGCGCCAGGGCACTTGATAACAAAGCTTCTGTAAAAGTTTGGTCAAAATACGTTGAGAAATGTAGGTGTTTTGCACAAAAGAATTGTTCACTTTATATTCTGTATAAGGAAAAAAAACAAAGGGCCATAATTAGGTCAAATATTATCCAATCACAAAACCTTGACAATATGTGCAAAGACACTTAATTACAAAGCTTCTGTGAAAGTTTGGTCAAAATCCGTTGAGAAATGTAGGAGGAGTTGCGCACAGAAGAAATTGTTGACTATATATTCTATATAAGGAAAAAAAAACAAAGGGCCATAATTAGGTCAAATATTATCCAATCATAAAACCCTGACAATATGCATAAGGGCACTTGATGACAAAGCTTCTGTGAAAGTTTCATCAAAATCCATTGAGAAATGTAGGAGGAGTTGCGCACAGAAGAAATTGTGTCCGCCCGCCCGCCGACATACCTCAATCTAATAACCAGTCCTGGTTAAAAATCTATTTTTAGCACTGGTGACCTTGACCCAACTGACCCCTAACTCCATCAAATGGAAGAATATCATGTAAGTTGTATGAGCAAAAGTGTAAAAATCTATTTTTAGCACTGGTGACCTTGACCCAACTGACCCCTACCTACATCAAAATAAGAATACCTCAATTTTATGTTCCTACAAAATATACAAGACACCTGTCAATAGAATAAGGTTAATACACCTGTTAAAGTGTAAAAAATCTATTTTTGACATTGGTGACCTTGACCCAAATGACCCCTTACCAAAGGAAGAGGACCTCCCTTGGTATAACTATTATAAAATGAAAGACATTAACTTAAAAACAAGGGGGCCATGATGGCCCTGAGTCGCTCACCAGAAACAAAGGCTTTACAGTGTTGGAAATTATTTTTTAAAAGAATTAGCTGAAAGGCAAGTCCAGCTCTTTCGGCAAGTTCAGCTCAACTTTAACTTGCCCCTCTAGTAATATACTTTCACAACACTGATTCTTTTAGCTTTTTTTCTTCATAATAAAAAATAGGGCCACTAATTAGTGGCCCTAGATCACTCATCTAACCCATCATTTCATTATTCACATTATCAATATAAATTGAAATATTTTGCCCTAATATTTTGGAAAGGCTTTGTTAAAAATATGTATGATGCAAGTGTGTTCCTATGAGACTATGTAGAATAAATGCAGAATAAATGACCACTGGAGCAGGATTAATTTTGACTAAACAATTTATAATAATATAACTTTTTTGAGTGAAAACACAACATCATGTCACATGCAAAACATGTAAGGTGTAGATGTTTGAGGACAACAAATTTTTAATACATTCTGTATGGTAACATAACTGTACCTCTAAACAAGAGGGCCATGATGGCCCTGAGGTCGCTCACCTGTATATAGGCCCCAGGAGCGGGGCCAGTTTAAACCCCAGGGCTTTTATTTGAACAAACTTGGAAGACACTCATTAGAAGATGTTTCACGATGTTAAGTTTTTACTACACACACATAATAAAAAAAAAAAATGATCTGCCTCCCCCCCCCCGGCAGGGCCAATTTTCACCTGAGGGCTTTTATTTGAACAAACTTGGTAGACACCCATAAGAAGATGTTTCATGCTAAACATCTAAGCTCTAGCTCATTGGATTTTTTAAAAGAAGATTATTTAAGTTTTTACTATACACATATAGTTAAAAACAATGACACCCCTGGGGCGTGGCCAGTTTTGACCCCAGGGCTCTTATTTGAACAAACTTTGCAGACACTCACTAGAGGATGTTTCATGCTTAATATCTAAACTCTAGCTATTTGGGTTTTTTCAAAGAAGATTTTTAAGTTTATGCTATACATATATAAGGAAAATCAATGACCCCCCAGGGAGGGCTAATTTTGACCCAAGGGCTTTTATTTGAACAAACTTGGTAGACACTCACTAGAACATGTATGTTTCATGCTTAATATATAAACTCTAGCTATTTGGGTTTTTTCAAAGAAGATTTTTTAAGTTTTTGCTATACACATATAAGGAAAATCAATGACCCCTGGGTGGGGCCAATTTTGACCCAAGGGCTTTTATTTGAACAAACTTGGTAGACACTCATTAGAAGATGTTTCATGCTAAATATCTTAGCTCTAGCTCCATGGGTTCTTTAAAAGAAGATTTTTTAAGTTTTTACTAAATGCATATAGGGAAAATCAATGACCCCCTGGGTGGGGCCAATTTTGACCCCAGGGCTTTTATTTGAACAAACTTGGTAGACACTCATTAGAAGATGTTTCATGCTAAATATCTTATCTCTAGCTCTTTGGGTTCTTTAAAAGAAGATTTTTTAAGTTTTTACTATATGCATATAGGAAAAATCAATGACCCCCTGGGGCGGGGCCAATTTTGACCCCAGGGATTTTATTTGTATAAACTTGGTAGACACTCACTAGAAGATGTTTCATGCCAAATATCTAAGCTCTAGCTCTTAGGGTTTTTTAAAAGAAGACTTTTAAAGTTTTTTCTTTCAGTTGCCATGGCAACCAGAGTTCTGCATGGAATTGAAATCTTTGAACAATTTTTAAAGGTGTGACCACCAAAGGAACATTCCTGTGAAGTTTGGATGAAATTGGCTTAGTGGTTTATGAGGAGATGTCATTTAAAGTAAAATTTTACGGACGGACGAAAAGCGATCACAAAAGCTCACCCTGTCACTTTGTGACAGGTGAGCTAAAAAGCGACGGACGCCATTTGGCCGGACAGCCGGACGGACAAGCTGATTCCAGTATACCCCCCTTACAACTTTGTTGTGCGGGGGTTTAAAAAAAAAATCTGTGTTTAGGAGAACAGGCTCAAAAAATTAAGGTAGGGTAGGTACCAAGATTTTTTTTTTTTTTTTTTTTAATCTTTGGGAAATCAAGAATGTTGCGGTTGAAAGAATGCTGCTTTTTTATACCATTTTTAATGCTTTAGTTCATGAACCTCTTTCAAACCACCTGCCCCTTACCGCTGTGGGTTCGAATCCCTACAGGGACTTTGAATTCTTTCATGTGAGGAAGCTATCCAGCTAGCTTACGGAACGTCATGGTTCTACTCAGGAACCCGTTTGTGCCTGAAATAATGCATGGAAGTGCACTCCACCAGTAAAGCTGGAACATCGCCATATGACCTATACTGTGTTGGTGTGACATAAAACCCAATAAAACAAAACAAACAATCATGAACGACTGTGCTCATCTGTTTTTCTCATGATGTCCTAACAGAAAGGAATTTAAGTTAAAGTCACATATGTTGGAGTTATACACGGATGCTGACAACCTGGCTTTAACAATATTTTAAAAGTAATAGGCCAGAATTATCCACCATATACAAATTATGTTGTTATGGAGCTGCCGGCAATTTCTGGTTGCTCTAGATGATAGGATTCGTTCAAAATGCCTTTGCATGAAGACCTTAGTATTGCACAGATATACAAATATTTATCATCCATACAACCTTATCGCCTTCAAATATTTAGAATAGAATATAAAAATTCAAACTTGAAAAAAAATCACAGACTAAATATCACATTGCTGTCCAGTTGAAATGAAAAACCATTCATCATCTTAAGGAAAAAAATCAAAATGAGCCGTGTCATGACAAAACCAACATAGTGCGTTTGCTACCAGCATGGATCCAGACAAGCCTGCGAATCTGTGCAGTCTGATCAGGATCTATGCTTTTCACTATCAGTTTCTCTACTTGTTATAGGGATTGTAAGCGAACAGCATGGATCCTGATCAGACTGCGAGGATGCGCAGGCTGGTCTCGATCAATGCTGTTCACTAACACACTATGTTGGTTTTGTCATGGTGCGGCTCAAATATTGACTGCACAGTGTTCAAAGGATGTGCCCATTGATGTGACACTGACAAAGATATTACATAGTCAAAATTTTATCTAAATAATCAAACAAATCAGGGTAAAATTTAACTTCCTTATTTATCATATAAATACCTGTACAAACATGTTAAAAAAATGTTGAATTTACTGTCATGCAAATTCATTTGTTGTTTCAAAGCTACAAAACGAAAGATAATCTTTGTCAAAAGTTTTCAAAAGATAAATCAGTAACATTTTACGAATAGAAGAAAAAGGTAAGATTTACATTGTTAAACATTGTCAAGCAAAAATAGGTTGAACATGCAACTTTAAAGCTACTTTGTGGCGAAAAAAACAGAAGAATTCTTTTTTCATATATAACATATTTTGAATGTCAAAGATACCTGAATATCAAACCTCAATATCAGAGAAAACAATTTGAGAGGCATCTGATTTTCAGAAAAATTTAAATATTGGAGAAACCTAAATTTCAGATAACCTAAATATTTGACAAACCTGAACATCAAAGAACCAGATTACTGGAGAAACCTGAACACATTTTAAGGACCAGATTACTGAGGAAACCTGAACATTAAAAAACCAGATTACTGACGAAACCTGAACACAAAGGACCAGATTACTGGAGAAACCTGAACACAAATGACCAGATTACTGAAGAAACCTGAACATCAAAGGACCAGATTACTGGAGAAACCTGAACATCAAAGGACCAGATTACTGGACAAACCAAAACATCAAAGGACCAGATAACTGGAGAAATCTGAACATCAGAAAACCAGATTACTGGAGAAACCTGAACATCAGAAAACCAGATTACTAGAGAAAACTGAACATCAGAGAACCAGATTACTGCAGAAATCTGAAAAATTCAGAAACCAGATTACTGGAGAAACCTGAACATCAAAAAAACCAGATTACTGATTAAACTTTAACATCAGAGAACCAGAATACTGGAGAAACCTGAACATCAAAGAACCAGATTACTAGAAGAACCTGAACATCAAAGAACCAGATTACTGGAAGAACCTGAACATCAAAGAACCAGATTTCTGGAGAAATCTTAACATCAGAGGACCAGATTACAGAACCTTGATATCAGAAACCAACCTAAATATCACAGTTACACTGACTTTTTTTAACAAAGTACAACATTTTATTTTCTTACAACTATAGTTATATATTAACCTTCACAATGTACCAAAATATAGGGATAGGTGTGTTAGAGGAGGTGGTTTTCCCTAAATTAAATAGAAATGGCCAAGGCAATCACGCATGCCAAGTAAAGAATAATGGTAAATACTGATTGGTGGATACCCTCTTGTGATACAATATAGCTTGATGATTGGGCAAAAATTATTAGCTAAATGCTGTGCCTATTGCTGTACTAACTTATGTATAAAATAATTAAGTACGTACAAAGGCATAAAAAAAACTTTGTTACCTTAAACTTCTATTTATGATTACGTCCATGGAAAGAAAGTCACAAAAAGGTCCAAGCTTGTATGGGTGCAGGGAAACAACTGTCTTACAATTGTACCTTTTCATGATTAATAAGTATCAATGGGGACTAACTGTTTAACATATTGCTTTCATGATAAATTCCTTTGCCTAGCAACTGTTTGTTGTCATGATAATCAAGCATTTCAAGTTTCATGTTGAAAGAATCATGAAGTATTGGAAAGAATAAGGTGTTGACAAAAAGAAGCAAATTTTCACATTTCTTGATATTATAAGGAAAATATAAAAACTAGATTTTCAGAAAATGTCCGTCAAACATGCTTTAATTGACAAGATCTTCTGTTTTTATGAGCGTACAAGTACTTAAAATTCTATAAAAAGAAATCAAATGAGTGTTAACACTAGTTTAAGATACTTCTACAGTTTGTTTGAGGAACTAAAATAAAATTTCAAAAAAAAATATGTGCGTTTACAAGGTTTTGCTACAATCAATGTTGGTTTTCTACACTTGGAAGTATACAGATGCTAATTTAAGTGCTGATGATGTGTATTCCATGCTAGCTGTTAAAATAGATGCGATTACCACTGAAATGTCCTTGTTACGTCGGGTTCTAATGTCAACCAAATCAGAACTGGCATTTACTCAGTCAAAACTAAAATCAACTGAGACAGAAGTAAACATGATAAAAAGACAATGCGGACTTATTTCAGGAATCACAACAAATGTAAGTTAACACGTTCTATAACTATGCTACCTGGGATAACATCCATACATGTGAGGTTGAAGAAATAACCGCTGCTTGTTTTCCTATATAAATCCAATTATGACAAATTTTGTATCATTAATTAAGCATTTAAATTAATTTTCAGACAAGGTCTCCAATCACTCCAACTGAAAACTCTACAAGCACCTCATTTGAAGATGAAACATGTTGTCAAGTTGTTGAAAAGGCAATTATAAGAATGAAAGCAGAACAGAAACAGACAAAACAAGATATAGAAAACGTGTAAGTTGATGTTCTATTATAATAATCTTATAAAGCTTCACATTTCTTTAGACAAATACAAAATTATCTTTTAAATATAAAAAGAGCTGTTGGTAGGACAGCATACTCATCTATTCGTAAAACATGAGTCTGGTTAATGTAGAGTTTTGTAAGTTCAAAAGGGCCTTAATTCTGTCAAAATCCTTATTAAAGTTACGGGTTTTGCATAGTGACAAATTATGCTTTCAAGAAGTGTGTGAAGTTTCAACCTCCTTCATACAAATTTGCTTGCAAAAACATCACCAAAAAGTTACACAGATGCCAGTGTAAGTACAAAAGAACTTCCTATTCTTTAAATTTCGGACTTAGCCGAAAATTATCATGAATTTACGACATATCAGAAGCTTATCCTGTATATGAACACTTCAAGTATAAAAGATCTATCTGTTAATGGCTATACCTGACTTCAGTGTTTGAAAAAGTTTATATCATTTATTGCTTTTTAGCGAATCCTTTACTTCAAACATAATGCTTTAAGAGGGAAATAAAATATTTTTATAACTTTGAACAGTTTTTCTTTCCACAAAAAGTACTGTAAAATGTATTAACAATGTGTATCATTTAAATAATTGTACTACACTCATGTTTGGGAAGAATTCTTTTATTGAAGCAATTTGTAGAAATCTAGAAAATTCTAACTGAAAATGTCTAATTTGTAAGAAAATGCATCATCTAAGTTTGAAAAGCTGCATTTCCTATTACTGGTCAAGATAATTTGGTCCGTTTTTAAAAAAAATGCCAGTTTTTTTTCATGACAATGCTATGCTTCAAAGATAACCTCACGATTGCGATTTTAGCCAAGCAATTTCAAAATCTATCAAAGACAGTAAAAGTTACATGTATGACCCAGACAAAAAGAGATAAACTCCAATTTTGGCCATTTCATACATCTACAATTTTGGCCATTTTATACATCTACAATTTTGGCCATTTTATACATCTACAATTTTGGCAACTTTAATATCTTCAATTTTGGCCATTTTATACATCTACAATTTTGGCCACTTTATACATCTACAATTTTGGCCACTTTATACATCTACAATTTTGGCCATTTTATACATCTACAATTTTGGCCACTTTATACATTGTAGGCCATTTTATACATCTACAATTTTGGCCACTTTATACATCTACAATTTTGGCCATTTTTTACATCTACAATTTTGGCCACTTTATACATCTACAATTTTGGCCATTTTTTACATCTACAATTTTGGCTACTTTTATACATCTAACAATTTTGGCAACTTTAATATCTTCAATTTTGGCCACTTTAATACATCTACAATTTTGGCCATTTTATACATCTACAATTTTGGGCCACTTTAATACATCTACAATTTTGGCCATTTTTTTACATCTAAACAATTTGGCCACTTTATACATCTTACAATTTTGGCCATTTTTATACATCTTCAATTTCTGGCCACTTTATACATTGACAATTTTGGCCACTTTATACATCTACATCTTTGGCCACTTTATAACATCTACCAATTTTGGCCACTTTATACATCTACAATTTTTTTTGGCCACTTTATACATGAACAAATTTTAGCCACTTTATACATCTACAAAATTTTGGCCACTCTATACGTCTACAATTTTGGCCACTTTTATTACATTGACAATTTTGGCCACTTTAAACATTGACAATTCTGGCCACTTTATTCATCTACTGTTTTGGCTACAATTTTGGAAAATTTATACATCTATGTATAAGCTATAATCTGCTTAGGACCTGCATTGTGCACATGGAAGATCATTCGACAATGTTCAATTGATATATGCCACAGACAGAAAGAAGAGGCATTAACTATATCACTACCTTTAGGGACATATGAAAGATAACTTTATTTTCTTAGCATAGATTCTTTTTTTTCTTCTTCAAAATTTCTCCGACAAAAAAGCAGTTACTTTGAGGAAATAAAAAACATTGGCAGCTTACAGTTTAACATAAATAACATTTGATTTCAAACCATACCAATATATTTTAGAGACACAATTATATAATGTTAGATTATATATATATAATATGTATATTTCAATTTTATTTATTTCACATAAATGCAGGATAGAGAAGAAAATGGCTAAAGTAAATGAAAGATAATTGCAAGAAATAGTAAGGGGCTGGTATCCATGGAAACTAACATAGACAAAACTGGCTGTAGACCTCTTGTTAGCTTCAGGAACAACAGTGACACAAAAGTTGGTAAAGATTGGACAGGAGGTAAAAGTGTTGACTGGAGAGAATGGCAAGTTACAACTTGGAAATGGTGAAAAAAGGAGACAGAAATAATAAAAACTAATAATGACTTAAATGCCATGTCTAAAAATTTGGACAACGTAACACAACAAATGAGAGAAATGAATGAAAAGATATCAAAAAAGAAATTATCAAATAACACTCATGATCTAATAAATTTGGAAAGGAATCTGGTAAAAGTATCTGAGAATCTCCAGGCATTATCCAACCAACCACGAAAAACTTTCCATGAAGGTTGAACAACAACAGAATAAAACTTTGATGAAAAGAGAATCCAAAAAAATAAAGCAATGTGTCAGATTAAAAAAAAACCAGATCAGAGTTTAGAAAAAACTTTCAAAGAGACCTCAATGACTTATCAAAATCAAATCAAAACCAGGCTTGTTTGAGAACCAGTTCAAAAAAAACCAGACAAGTCACAAAATCACAGAGGTGTTGTAAAAATCTGAAATGGAGAAGACTGAGCATTGCCAATCAGACGCGTGTTACAAACTTGGTTACCATCAAAATCAGTTTCCATATACATTCACAATAAATTTCGAGAAACCATTTAAAAACGAGCCTGCATTTACCCTTGGAACTTCACTATTAGATTTCTTTCATGGCAAAAATTTGCGACTATCAGTTTATGTGAAAGAGATATCTACCACCCAAGTCAAAGTACATGCCCGCATATGGGGAGATACAATAGCGTATTTGACAGGTTTTAATTGGATGGCTTGTCCAACATAAAACAACATAATCATTACTATTGACAATGTTTCTCCAATGAAAAGTTGTATTCTGCTTAAGTTTATAATAATTATATGTATGTCGTAAAAGTATATATGTCTTATAAACTTATAGATGTGATAAGTCTGTTTGTCTAAAAAGTCTATTATATGCAAGTCAATATATCTTTAAGTCTAAACTTTTGACTGACTCAAAATCATTATTATCATATCATTATGGTTAACATTTCTGCCAAGTAGTTTTAATTTCCTTCCACCGGTTCAAAGGTACAGACCGGACATGAAAACAGCTAAAAGACGGACAGACAGATAACCAGGTGCATCACATTTTACTGTTTACACCAAAATTTTTTCGGGCATATAAAAACATTAAACACAGTTTATAAATATATCCAATTTAAAAAAACATGGTTGTTTTTTCAAAGATCGAAGAATGCTTTGCTGACATAGACCATTTTTCTCATCATTTTGGATGTAATTTTGATACAAAATACCTCAAAATGAGGTTGCTAAAACTTTCACCAAATATCTATCTGTATGTCTCTTACAAGGGAAAAACATTTTTTGAGTGTTTTTAATTAAAAACCCCAAAACCCACTTTGGGGGACGGGCCCCCTAGGAAAAAACTTTAAACTATATTTGAAGAAATGCCCTTTACCTGGGGGAAATTTAAAACTTTAGCCCCAAAAGGGGGCAATCAAAATTTAAAATTTACTTTATTTAGCAAACTTGATAAAAACTACCAAGGAAAGTACAGACAAAGTTTTTGGGGATTTATACATCAAATATTTCCAGTAGAGGGTGATGTTCAAAGGCCGTTTTCTAATATTTAGCCCTTTGAGGCCCCTTAATGGGGCCAATTTAAATTTAAAATTTACCAAACTTTTATTGGGAAAAACTACCTTAAAAATGTTTTAGACAAAATTTTGGGTTTTATCATCCATCTTTATTTTGTTGAAAGGGGAGGGTTAAAAAAAGGTTTTTTCTAATTCAACTTTAGCTGCCCCTAAAAGGGGCCAATCAAGGAAATATGAGCAAACTTGATAAAAGACTAACTAAGAGTGCTACAGTCAAAGTTTGGTGATTTCAGTAGAAATGATGTTCAAAGGTTTTTCTATTTTTAGCCCTAGAGACCCCTAAAAGGGGCCAATCAAATTAATATGAGCAAATACAGACAAAGTTTGGTGATCATCCATCGATAAGTTCTGTAGAAGGAGATGTTTAAAGGTTTTCTTATTTTTAGCTTTAGCAGCCCCTTAAAGGGACCAATCAAATTAATGTGAGCAAACTTGATAAAAGACTACCTAAGAATGCTACAGATAAAGTTTGGTGATCATCCATCAATTAGTTCTGTAGCAGAAGATGTCTAAAGGTTTCTCTATTTTTAGCCCTAGAGACCCCTAAAAGGGGCCAATCAAATTAATATCAGCAAACTTGATAAAAGACTACCTAAGAATGCTACAGACAAAGTTTGGTGATCATCCACCAATTAGTGCTGTAGAATAAGACATTTAAAGGTATTTCTATTTTTAGCTTTAGAGATCCCTTAAAGGGGCCAATGAAATAAATATGAGCAAACTTGATAAAAGACTACCCAAGAATAAGGCTCCCACGTTTACAATTTTTTGTAAACGTTTACACGATTGCCAAGAACCGAAACGATACCGTTTAAACGGTGGTACCTATATGTACTATACACACCATGTATTTGAGTCGCCAAATGATGTATTTCTTTCTTTTTATACACATGTACAAATAAAGAATGTGCAGGGCTCATCACGATTGAGTCAGCACACATTTATTGCATTGTAACCCCATTTTTTACTAAAAATGTATTATGTCACGAGCAATTTGTGCACGGTAATGCTGTGTGGAGGGTTGTAAACACCCATTTTCTGTTTTTTACTTTGGAATAAACCACTAGAATTGATAAAATCCATGATAAAAGGCAATGATTAAGAAATTTTGTAAGACAATATGGTAATTTCGATTAAACGGTAAAAATTATCGTAAACGTTTACGAATGAAAATCGAAACAAATCCGTTTAAACGTGTAATCATGGGGGCCTTACCCAAGAATGCTACAGACAAAGTTAGGTGATCCTCCATCAATTAGTTCTGTAGAAGAAGATGTTTAAAGGTTTTTCTATTTTTAGCTCTGCTGACCCCTAAAAGGGGCCAATTGGAATGACATGAGCAAATTCAAGCGTGACTGTCACAAGGATGCTACAGACCAAATTTGAAGTAAATCTGCCCAGTAGTTTCAGAGAAGAAGACAATTGTTGCCGCATGACGCCGGAGCATCCCCCTTTGATACTAATAGCTCACCCTGAGCCTTCGGCTCTGGTGAGCTAATAAAGGCTGTATGGGCAGAAATGTTTAGATTTATTTTTTTACACAAGTGACCTTGACCTTGACCTGGAGACGCCTAACGCCACAAAAAATTAGAAGACTGTTAAAGGTATCCACCTACCAAATAAGAAAAATATCATTAAATAAATGAAGTAATTAGGTGAAATTTTTTGATAAATCTAACTTGGCGGAATAGGTTAACCATAACAAGGCCCTATTTTTAAAGTGATAAAGAGGGAAATTACTGGGAAAATGGATGGCACATTTATATAACTTGGCAATATCATGTACATTGTATTGATATGTAAGTGTGAAAATTATTAAGCCATTAGTTCATATAGAACATAAGATATTTCCAACTTGCCGGTTAAGGTTAACCATTATTCATTTTCTAAGTGCTGAAAAGGGCCATAACTTGGTGCAAATGGAAGCCATAGTTATGTTACTTGCACAGATCATATACTTTGTATGGATTAGTAAGTGTGTAAATTATGAAGCCATTGGTACAGGTAGAACTTAAGAAAATTCAACTTGCCGTTCTAGGTTAACCTCGTATGGATGGACGTCTGGCCGAAATGGAATAAGGGGCCATTTCTTTTGTTATTTTCTATTGTTTATTAGAGGGCTAATGGCCCCTTACTCTATTGTTACGGAATGAACTCTATTGTTCTCTTTCTGTTTACAGTTAGATGGCCCCCTATCCCTATTCTGTAGTGAGGACGGACGTCCGGACGGACGTTCTAACAGGAGAGTAATAATGTGGCTACTCTATTGTTCTCTCTATTGTCTTTTTTAGCCACTCAAAAGAAAATAGCCACATAAAAGCATTACGGAATGAATGACATCAAAGAGAAAGAACAGTTACCTATTGTCCCTCTAGCCACATAATTACTCTCCTGTGAGTGCGGACAGACAGTTCAATTACTATATGCCCGGGGGCATAAACAAGAGCAACGCTCAACTATTCTTAGTGCTTGATAGTAAAAAATAATGCTTGATACAGTTACCTCCTCTTGTTTACAGGTTGGGGTCATGATGGTGAACAAGTGTGCAAAGTTTCAAAGCCATATGTCAATGAACTTTGAAAATATTTGAACTATTACAAAAACTTTAACATAAGTGGTTACGCCGACGCCGACGCTCGGGTGACTACAATAGCTCTACTTATTCTTATCGAATAGTCGAGCTAAAAAGCATAGGTAAGCATTACCTGTGGATGTGTACTCCAGACTTCATACATTGTCTTCAGGAGACATATCTGGCCTTCCTCAGACTCGGCCAACATCTTCAACACAAAATGAAACCTGAAACAAAACAAGAACTGTCGGTGCTTGATAGTTAATCATGAGCCTTTATTGCATAAAAGTTTCAAAAACATTGTTTTACTGTGTCATGTTTTCAAACATTTATATTTTTAACTGAAAGGTTTGTAGGTAAATTTAAACATTACAATGATTAAACTGTTATTTTAAGGAACTACAGGGTCCGTACACTCAGTGCCTGAAAGGGCAAATGGACCCTCATTAAGCCTAGAATACATACATACAGGAACTACATGTCTGTAAAAGACATTCATTATATTTTTTATATTTTCATCTAAAGTATGTTTTAAAAACATCATAATTTCGTTTTGTATCAATACAATGAGATGATCTGTGAATCGTCAGGTCTGAATTCGTGGATGGGATCACCACCTGGCTGGGAATAAACAGCCCTACAAATAAAGCAAAACTAGAACTATCACTAAATGTGATTAATACCCCCACAAGACTGCTTCAGAAATGAGGATGTTACTAGTAACAGAATACCTTGTAAAAGAATTAAAATATAGAGTTATGGTTGTTGGCAATTAAAGATAATTGTGGTTCTTGTATGTTGCATTTCCTTTCAATGTGGTTGGCCATTGATGAAGTTTTATTGAATTACTCTGTAATAAGTCCAGAAAGACAAGGAAAAGAAACAAAGGGCAATAACTCTATAAATACTGAAGATGGAGTTATAGTTCTTGTGCACTGCACTTCCTCTTATTGTGCTTGACCATTGCATGAAGTTGTTTTGAATTCCAACCAGTACGTTATAAGTTATGCTCCGGACAAGGAAAAGTATCAAAGGGCAGTAACTCTGTATTTTGTCAAAATGGAGTTATGGCTCTTGTGCACTGCACTTCCTTTTTATGTCTTTGACAACTGTATGAAGTTGTATTGAATTTCAAACTGTAGTTTTCAATTATGCTCTGGACAAGGAAATGTAACAAAGGGCAATAACTCTGTAATTAGTCAAGATGGAGTTATGGTTCTTGTGCACTGCACTTCCTCTCAATGTGCTTGACCATTGTATGAAGTTATTATGAATTCCAACTATTAGTCTTAATGTTATGCTCCGGACAAAAAAAGCAATGGAAAAGTAAACAAGAAACATGGCAATGCCATGAAACCAGGTTTTCAATTATCACCATTGTAGATAAATATGTTGTATTTGAAATACAAATACAACCAACAAACAATGTAACTATGTGCAATGTAAAACATGAATAATGTAGGAGGAATTGCGCACAGAAGAAGTGTTCACTACATATATTCTGTATAAGGAAAAAAAACAAAGGGCCATAATTAGGTAAAAAATTATCCAATCACAAAACCCAGACAATATGTGCTAGGGCACTTGATGACAAAGCTTCTGTCAAAGTTTGAACAAAATCCGTTGAGAAATGTAGGAAGAGTTCAGCACAGAAGAATTTGTTCAATTCTGTATAAGGAAAATAAACAAAGGGCCATAATAAGGTCAAATATTATCCAATCATAAAACCCTGACAATTGAACCAGGGCACTTGATGACAAAGCTTCTGTGAAAGTTTGGTCAAAATCCGTTGAGAAATGTAGGAGAAGTTGCGCACTGTAGAAATTGTTCACTATATATTCTGTATAAGGAAAAAATATATAAAGGGCCATAATTCGGTCAAATATTATCCAATCACAAAACCCCGACAATATGTGCCAGGCACTTGATAACAAAGCTTCTAAGAAAGTTTGGTCAAAATCCGTTGAGAAATGTAGGAGGAGTTGCGCACAGAAGAAATTGTTCACTATATATTCTATATAAGGAAAAAAAACAAAGGGCCATAATTAGGTCAAATATTATCCAATCACAAAACCCCGACAATATGCGCCAGGGCACTTGATGAGCAAGCTTCTCTGAAAGTTTGGTCAAAATCCGTTGAGAAATGTAGGAGGAGTTGCGCACAGAAGAAATTGTTCACTATATATTCTATATAATGAAAAAAAACAAAGGGCCATAATTAGGTCAAATATATACCAATTGCAAAACCCTGACAATATGTGTCAGGGCACTTGATGACAAAGCTCCTGAGAAAGTTTGGTCAAAATCTGTTGAGAAATGTAGGAGGAGTTGCGCACAGAAGAAATTGTTCACTATATATTCTATATAAGGTAAAAAAACAAAGGGCCATAATTAGGTCAAATATTATCTAATCGCAAAACCCCGACAATATGCGCCAGGGCACTTGATGACAAAGCTTCTGTGAAAGTTTGGTCAAAATCCGTTGAGAAATGTAGGAAGAGTTGCGCACAGAAGAAATTGTTTACGCCCGCCCACCCATCCGCCCGCCGACATACCTCAATCTTATAACCAGTTTTTTTCTTCGGAAAACCTGGTTAACAACCAGGTTAAACAAGAGCTGTCCGTAAGACAGCGCGCTCGACTTTTTTATTGCTTGCCAATAAAAAAAGTTTTTGCAGTAAAAGGCAATACAAGAATCTCTGTATTTTTAAAGTGAACTAGTTGTTTGATACCCTTGAATATTACAGCAATGTTTATATGACATAATTTATGGTAAAGTGAACAAGTGGATAGGAATGAATTTTTTTAGATTTTTTAAGTTTTTTAGTGCTTGCCTATAATACAAAACATTGACAGTTAAGGGCCATAATTCAAATAAAATCTTTGACAGAATTACCTTCTCCTGGACATGTTTGGGAATCATGATTGTAAACAAGTATTCCAACTTTCAAATTAATATCTCAAACAGTTCAGTCAAAAAGTGGACTGGTACTAAAAACTTAACCAAGATTCTAAGTCGATAAAAGGCCTTAATTTTTAAAACAAATCCTTGACAGAGTTACCTTCTCTTGCGTACAGATGGGGGTAATGATGTGAAATAGCATTAAAAGTTTCAAAGCAATATCTCAAAGGGTTAAGGCAATAAGTGGATTTTACCCATATTCAATGTATTTTCTAAGTCAAAAAGGGGCATAATTCTGTCAAAAACCTTGACAGAGTTATGTCCTCTTGTCTGTTGATGAAGGTCGTGATGGTAAACAAGTATGGTCAGTTTCAAAGCAATACCTCCAATGGTTTTGAAATAAAGTGAGGTGGTACAAAAAACTTAACCAAGCTCAATACACTTTCTAAGTCAAAAAAGGGCCATAATTCTGTCAAAAACCTTGATAGAGTTATGTACTCTTGTCTGTAGATGGAGGTTATGATGGTGAACAAGTATGGTAAGTTTCAAAGCCATACTTGTAATACTTCTGAAATAAAGTGGGGTGGTACGAAAAACTTAACCAAGGTGTGACGCCAACGCCGACGCCGACGCCGGGGCGAGTAGGATAGCTCCCCTTTTCATAGAAAAGTCGAGCTAAAAAGGGCAATAACTCTGTAATTAGTCAAGATGGAGTTATAGTTCTTGTGCACTGCACTTCCCCTTATTGTGCTTGACCATTGTGTGAAGATGTTTTGAATTCCAACCAGTAGTTTTCAAGTCATGCTCTGGACAAGGAAAAGTAACAAAGGGCAGTAACTCTGCAATATGTCAAGATAGAGTTATGGTTCTTGTGCACTGCACTTCCTCTCAATGTGCTTGACCATTGTATTAAGTTAAAATGAATTCCAACTAAAAGTCTTCAAGTTATGGTCCGGAAAAAAGAAAGGAATGGAAAAGTAACAAAGGGCAATAACTGTAATTACTTTAGATAGAGTTATGGTTCTTGTGCACTGCACTTCCCCTTATTGTGTTTGACAATTGTATTAAGTTGTTTTGAATTCTAACCAATAGTTTTCAAGTTATGCCCCGGACAAGGAAAAGTAACAAAGGGCAATAACTCTGTCATTAGTCAAGATAGAGTTATGGTTCTTGTGCACTGCACTTCCTCTCAGTGTGCTTGACCATTGTGTGTAGTTATATTGAATTCCAACCATTAGTCTTCAAGTTATGCTCCGGACAAGGAAAATGCAAGGGACGTCTGGACTGCCTGACTGACTGACCACCGGGTGACTCCTATATACCCCCCCCAACTTCGTTTTTGGGGGTATAATTACATGAGCAAATAAGAAGATGTAAAGGTATACAAACTGACTTTGCAATGGCAGCAAATGAATGGGAGAAAGATTTAGATCCAAGATGTAACAGTGTAGACACAAACACATCTATTCTGAGGGGATGGTGTGACGGCTCATCTGCAAAGAAAAAAATCTTTATATACATATTTTTCTAATATTTTTACATATTTTCCACTATTTTTACACATTTTCCCATTATTTTACATATTTTCCCTTTTTTTTTTTTTTTACATATTTTCCCTATTATTTTTACATATTTTTCCATTATTATTAATATATTTTCCTATTATTTTTACATATTTTCCCATTATTTTTCCATATTTTTTTAATGCATTTTTCCATTATTTTTCCATTTTTTCCTATTATTTTTTTTTATATACTTTTTCCATTTTTTTTATTATATATTTTTCCATTATTTTCTACATATTTTCCTTTTGTTTATACATATTTTCCATTATTTTTACATATTCTTTCTGTTTTTCTTCTTTATTGTTTCAAAATCCATATCTTTAACTATTTTAAATTCCCATTCAAATTTTAGTCTTAAGTTTTATCCAATTTCAATTCATTATAAAAGCTTACACGTAGATATCTGATTACTTAAGACTAATTTGCAATACAATTTCAGAGCAATATGCTGTTAAAATTAATCTATTAAAGCTTAATTATGGGACATGCTTGTATGTACCTTACTTTCGAAGTCTGCTAAAAAAAGAAATTAAGTATTTCTGGTTGCGTTAAAGTCAAACCGAAACTATTAACCCTTAAAGTGCTGGAACCGAAAGCGTTAAGCCTTTGCCACCAGTATAGAGCAAGGCCAGCCTGCACATCGGTGCAGTCTGACCAGGCTCGACACTGTTGGCTGACAAACTTTAAATTTTCAAACTGATATCCCTAAAATTGATAATGGACAGTCCAAAAATTGGAAGTGGGACAAGTCCATTTAAAATATTCAGCATGTTAAGGGTTTTACTGGTGGAGGAACACCATTTTTCAGGCACAAGCTGGCACCTATTTATGACCACCAACCTTTTGTAGGCTACCAAGATACCTTCCTCATATGAAAGAATCCAAAGTCCCTGGCAAGATTGGATCCCACAGCAGTGATGGGCAAGTGATTTTAAGTCAGCCATCTTAATCACTGCCATAGTAACCTCCTCAGAATTTTTTTACTTAGTTAGAAAACAAAACAAGGCCTGTCCACGGACAGGACCCTCCACTTTTCTTAATACTGGATAGTTAAATAAAATCAACTTGCATTTTTTTTAAGGATTATCTTCCCTTTTAAAAAAGCGTGCTTTTATGACAATAAACATTATCTAAGTTTGAAGTAAACAGCATTAACAGTTTTTGAGAGAAAAAAATGGACCTTAAGAAAAAGTAAACCAATGCCTACACTGACATCAACACACACAAAACGGTCATGAAAAAAAGGTCCAACTTTTTCTTTAAAAAAAAGGGGGGAGCTAAAAAGTAAATGTAAACATCATACCTGTATCATCAGCTAGAGGATTTGGTAATTCTTTCAATAAGACCAGTGTTTCCTCTGGTGTACATTTTGATTTGATGGCATCTATCAACTGATGGGAAACCATGGTACCCGGCAATGATCCTGTATAAACATACTTCATGTCAATTATGTTTTATACTCTACAATGTGTTTTTCCTTCTTTAAATGTTTCAAAAGTACAACACCTTTTTGGAAACAAAAAGCTATTCCTGCTTCAATCGTACTTTAAAAGCTAGCTGTTTTGATGATATCAAATGTGACATCCTCGTTACAGTTTGTGCACATACTCGTGTTCAGTTGACCGATTATGATTATCAGTCCCGGGTCACAAACTCATAATCAGTCAGGTGACACACATAAACAATTAAAATCATAGGCAATTTTGTTACTATATATAGTAACAAGTGTATTAACTCTGAATAATGATTCATAATGTGCAAAACAACCCAGAAATTAAAAGAACCTACAAATCATAGAAATTATCAATTTTCATTTATTTCTGAGTATATTTCTTTTTTTATCTTTTGCACATCATACCATTTAAGCGCATGATATGATCTATGTAAGAACTTAAAATTTTATGTTTATAAGCTTTTTGACCTTGGTGAAGCTCCTTCTAAGGATATTGGAGCTTTTTAAATGAAATTTTTTAGTAAAAATCCTGATTTATTTATAAATTATGGGCGTTTAAAATCAAAATTTCCCACCTGCCCCTTCTTCCTCGTACTTGTACCTGGCTTGAGGTTTAGCTGGTATCAGCTCTCTAAAGGCTTCTGGTACAGTGTCTTTAATCCTTTGATGGTACGACAATCTGTAAAATAATAGCATTGCATGCCGTGTTACACTGTTATGGGCAACCAATTTTGACAAAAATTCTAAGTTTAAAATTAAGAAAAGTAAAAAGATTCAAGATAAATGTAATAATTTTCATGTTATTAGCCATTTATGACCAATTTTGCAGTATTTTTCACTATTTTTCTACTGCGTTACTAACACAGTAAGGGCAAATTTTGCATATTTTTACCTCCTTTTGGTAATTTTTATGGTCTGTAAGTGCGGTTTCCAATTTGAAAATTATTTACTTTGTTCACTTCGCAATATTTCACCTTTTAATACATTTTCAATATTTTCATGAAAATTAGCTTGAATCTGGAGGTGTGCTGCTTTAGATAATAATACAAAACTAAAACTAGTAAACAGTTACCTCAGGCATTTATGGAGAACCTCTGTAACAAACTTGGGTTTAGGGAGAAGCGGGTTGACCTGTGTACAAGCTATCCAATCATCCCAGCTCCATCTGAACTGGAAGTTGCTCAAATGGTAGGCAAACCAGTTGGAAAACCTGAAATATAAAAAGAAACAAAATCTGATCGGATCCCAATACAAGTTATACAAGTAATACATACAAACAAGACATGTTGGTAGAACAATGTGCTTGACTATTCTCAGTGCTTGATAGTAAAACAAAAGCCTGAATTAAAATGAATTATCTAAGTTCAAAAAAGGGACATAATGATGTAAAATCCATGTAAGACTTAAATGAGCCTTGAACAGTGACTTCCCATTATGCTCTCAAAAAATTGTGTGAAGCTTCAACCCATTCCCTTTAATTTTTTAGGAGAAACTCATGCTTTTATTTAGAAAGTTAGCAAATACTGCAAATGTACAAACCTTTCAATACATGGAGACTTCATCGTATCCAGTCTCTCATACAACATTTCTGTAGCTTGAGCCAACTGATTATTTGTTAAGGAAATGTCTGCTAATATCTTAAAGTACACTTTTCTATCTGAATAAAACCTATTCATCATTTTTAAAGGAGCACGCCTCCAGATTCATGCTAATATTCATGAAAGTTTTGAAAATGTGTTTAAAAGTATTATTTAGTGAAATAACCAAATGGAAGCTATTTACACATTATTGATGGCACTTACAACCCATGTATATTACTAAAAAAAGAGGACAAAATATGCAAATTTAGCCCTTACTGTGTAAGTAACGCAGTAAATTAATACTTGAATCTTGAATATTTTTACTTTTCCTAAAATCTTTTTTTTAGGAAACACATTTTTCTCAAGTTTGATTTTATTGAAATATTTTCGCTCATCTGGAGTCATGAGCTTTGAGAATTTTTTTAAACAGATACTGACTGAATAGCAAACAGTGCGGACCATGATGACAGTTGCAGACTGACCTGGCTCTACAATGATGGCAAAGGTCAGTAAATTTTGGTTCCAACTGGTTAAGAGTTGTTTTTTTTGGTTTTGGTTTTGGGTTTTAAGTCACACCAACACGGTACAGGTCATATGGGGACTTTCCAGCTTTACTTGTGAAGTACCCCTCCATGCATTATTTCAGGCATATACCAGCACAGAAAAGATATATGTAAGATTCAAGTAATAATTTACATGGTATGTGCGATTAAAGTCTGATTTTGCAGTATTTATCACCATTATTTCTACTGCTTGACTAAACCAATAGGGGGTATTGTCATATATTTTGACCTCTTTCTGGTAATTAACGTGGATTGTAATGCTGTTTGTAGAACCACTGACGTTCTATTTATCACATACCTAAAAGAAACCATTTTTTCTTTTCTTTCTTGTTTCTTCTTTTTAGTTGGGTTTTATGACTCAACAACCCAGTTAATGACATATGGTGACTTTCCAGCTTTATTGGTGGAGGAAAACCTCAGTTACACCAAAGTGCAAATATTTCTGCACAAACCATCACCTAAAAAAACCCACCGTTTTGTAAGCTTGTTTGTTTGTTTGTTTCATTTTACGCCTTTTTCCAACAGTATTTCAGTCATATAGGCGGGTAGTTTCCTAACCATTGTTCCTGGAGTTTTGTAAGCTAGCTGGATAGCTTTCTCACGTGAAAGAGTCCCTGGCATGACTCGAACTCACAGCGGTCAGGGGCTGGCTAATCATGGCTAAGAACTGCTAATACATGCTGACTCTCTTTCATTATATCAAATAAAAGGATACAACTTGTGGCATGGACCCTGGTTGTAGTTTACACAGCTCTATCAGTGTTGAACCATAGAAAATCTCAAGGTATGGGGGTTGAGGTAATCTGAATAGTTGACCAAACATCACCTAAAATTTATAAGAAAAAATATGTTATGAGCAATAAAAATAAAATACATTTGTTACAGTAATTTTTGCACAAGATTCAGAAAAAATTCAAGAAATCATATGAGAGTCCAAACAATTAAACTATATGCTGTCCCACTCCTTGTGCTCATCACACATTGTATTCATCAATCAAAAAGAGTTAGAATCTACAGTACATCATTTGCTTATCTTTTATAACACAGTAAAATACAAATAGCAGGGCTTTTTTTCACAGGTTGGGGAAGCAGTCCTGCCCTTAATTTTGGGGGAAAACTGCATGATTTTAAAGAATTTTTCTTTGGGGAAGCAGCCCTATAACGGCCCCTGCTATAGAAGGGGAAAAAATCCTTACTTGGAAAGAAGAATTTGTTCAGTTTAAGAATTCCATATAAGGAGGGTCCGAGAAAAAAACTTCCATAGTACTTTACAAAGTTTGTAGTTTTATTTCTCTGTGATGAATTAATCTTCAGATATTTGTCTCTCACAGCTGATTCAGCTTTTGTGCATGTATTTGAGATTCTTTATACTCGCCACAGGTTGCTCATAAGGGCGAGTTCTCAAGAAGATTATTAGTCATTTTAACTTGCAGGACAGTGCAAGATACAGTTACAGAAAGATGACCTAATTCCAGAAGCTTTTCCTGGTTTTTTAGCGTGCCAAATGTTTAAGCACTTGTACACAGGACCTCAATTTAATTTCTCATCCGGAAGACTTAATAGTTTTAGTTGTCTAGCCTGGAAATTGAACCCACAATGTTGAGATAACAAATCTCGGGCTCTAACCAATTGAGCTATGTGGGCTGGCGTTGGTCAACTAGACTGACTGCCAAGATATGACCAACAAGAGCTGTTGGTAGGACAGCATGCTCGACTATTCTTAGTGCTTGATAGTAAAAGAGTCGTGATGATGTAAAATTTTCTAAGTTACCAAAAGGGCCAAATGTTTCTTTAAATCCACGTTATTCTGTCAAAATAGTTACCTCTTCTTGATTTGGGGCTTGATGGTGAACAAGTGTGCAAAGTTTCAAAGCCTTATGTCAATAGACTTTGTAAATATTTGAGGTGTTACAAAAACTTTAACATAAGTGGTTACACTGACACCGACGCTCGGGTGACTAGGATAGCTCTACTTATTCTTATCAAATAGTCGAGCTAAAATTGTGTAAACAGTGGCAGAAAAAAACAACCTGCAGACAAATAAAGAAACAAACATTTTCCTACCTCGACAATCATATAGTTCAGGGGAATTTTGTTCTTGGTCGTGTAGCTAAGCAAAGCTGCGGCACTGTAATGACAAAATTTTCGATAAAATTTTAACACCATGTAAAAAAATCGTGTCTTTAATGTGTTTGTTTAGAAGTGAACAAAATGGATATAGATAACCGCTGAATATCCACTTTAAAAACTCGTTTACAAAGCACATAGTTTATCTTTATCATAAACATAACATGAATTCATAATTTTTTTTTTTAAATATATAAGCTACTGATCAATTTAATTTATGAGATAGGAAAAAGTGTGCGTGATTTTATTCTAGTTCTTTTTTTTCTGTAATTTTGATAATAAGAAATTAGGCAAAGCCTATGAGAGGGGATGTCGGTTAAAAAATAAAAAAATAGTTCATTCTTCCATTCTGAAGGTGTCATTCAGTATTTCACGCACCGCTTCTGTTTTCACTCGGAATATTTGACGATTATTATTAATCCTAAAAGTAACAATTGTTATCAAAATACCCCCTCTATTATCATTAAGTTACATTGAAAATGGTGGCGCCCGAATTCAACTGACACTGAAAAATTTGATTGATAGGGATAGAATTCTATATAGTCTTTGGGTTTTTTTATTGATTTTTTATTAAATATACACGCGTTGTCTATAGCAGGACAAGCAGAAGCCTTTGATTTCCCTGTATTAATTTTCTCAATGGCAGTAATTTGATAATTAAAAAATTTCAGTAGTGAATAGCTTTATAGTTTCTGAGAAAATGGACCTAACAAAAATACTTGTGAACAAAAATTGTAGCTCTTTTAAGTCAGAATACCCCCCGAGTAACTTTCTATATCAACTTGTGGAAGAATCAAGAGCTTTCCATGTGCGAAATAATACGTTTTTGACATAAAAAAATTCAAAACTGTTTGAGTGGTGGCATGGCCTAGTGGTTAACGCATCAGACTAGTAATCTAATGATTGCTAGCTGCATGGGTTCAAACCTCTTCAGGGGCAAGTCGTTGTTTCCTTGAGCAAGAAACTTTACACTCATTGCTCAGTACTGGTTGGTTCCAGGAACAGATTCGAAAGTTTGTCTTTAAGCTTATAGCGTCCTACACAATTGAACTAAAATAAATTCTGTATAAACCAAAACTGTTTGAATAAAATCACACAGAACACTTTGCTGTCGCCTTAACGTCAAACATTAAACAAAAGAGATACCACTCTTTTCTCTCCAGGTGAAATGTCTGTACAATATTTGATAGACTTTCCTCGATCAGAAATCTTTCTATTGAATGACTTCCAGGTATTGCGGGACCCTGCAAAACACCATACATAACTGCATGTCAACAACAGCAACAACAACATCATGTATCATATATAAATAGCTGTACCATTCTTGTACAATCTCTTCAGACTTCATGCAATTTTCAAGTAATTTTGTGGCGATTAATGCTTCTGATCCAGATTTTTCCTGCACATTCAAGTTGGGGTAGCAAGCTTTTAGGCTTTGATTTTTCGAAAACATTTGTTTATCACATTCCCCCCCCCCCCCCTCCACTCCAAAAACATAACATTCTTACAAATATAACATTCTCTATAATCTCTTCGAGCTACATTTTCCTATCTGTAACCAGAAGCCATGACCTTGCAGAATTATAGATAGTCAACTGATCAAGACTGCAGCCATATATCCATTCTAGAACACTTGCTTAATGGTGACATGCATTTTGGAGTTAAACTACATGTTTTTGGAAAAATTAAATAGCTATACCCTAAATGTAACCTAAATGTCCTTTTTTGTGGCTGTCGGTATATAACAGCTTAAAATCTTATAAAAAAATCTGCTGATAATAAATGACATCCCTTATAATAAATGGCAATCTTAAAATTCACTTATTTTAAAAACAACAGATCTGACATTATGAATACATCTAATTAGGTCCCCAGTACATCTACGAGTCATGAGCTATAAATAGACATTTGACTGATTCTCTACAACCTTGTCAAATGTTATTCTAATCACACAGCTAGCATAAATCTAAACCCTGTCATCAATTTTCCAAGAAAATCTAAATAGTAAGGACATAGTTATGAAAATATATGTGTAGCTTGGAGATTTGTTAGCCTATTGCAGTAAGCCATCAGGTATTGTACAAGAACGGTAGAGGTCACGGAGAATATGAAATCGTACCAATCTTTCCTGTCTTGGTTGTGCGTCTTGATCAGATACCTCATCTCTTCTTCAATAAGGAATCGATCTATAGCATGACTGCCTGGAATAGCTGGACCCTGTTATAATAGTGTTAGTATAATCTTACAACGCTTACCCTGTTTTATATAGGTCTTATCATTCATTCAAGCAAATGTATCGGCTCCCATTCAGTAAGACAATACTACAGCTTATAAATAAATGATGAAGCCAATATTGGACAGTACAAGAGAAAAAAATTTTTGGGGTTGGGTTTACATCGCACCAACATAGTAGAGATCATGTGGTGACTTTCCAGCTTTACTGGTGGAAGACGACCTTAGATGCCTCTCTGTACATTATTTCAGGCATGAGCGGGCACATGAGTAGAACCTACGACGTTCCGTAAGCTAGCTGGATAGCTTTCTCACATGAAAGAATCCAAAGTCCCTGTCAGGATTCGAACCTACAGCTGTGACGCCCCCTACAAGAGTAGAAATGGCCAAGTGGTTTAGGTGTTGGCCTCTCACCAAAGGATCAGGGTTCGAGTCTTAACAAGGTCATGCCATTTTTTCCCTATGTCACTAGTACTGGTTAGTTCCAGGAAGCAGACTCAAAAGAAGTTCGAGTAAACCTCAAGCCTTCAAAACAGATATTGTAAGAAATATTGATGATAATTTGATTGTTACACAAAGCCAATATCCATATCCATTTTACACTATCAACCCTTGCCAAATTAACAAGCATACGTGAACATGTTTATTTTTCCATCTGGACAAAAGCATCATTTTAAGGAATTTTTTTTAAAGATCTTCATATAATTGCAAAAATTATTCCGAAAATGTGTAATAACAAAAGCTAGACTATTCTAAATGCTGGATAGTAAAGTAACAGCCTGGATAATGTAGAATTTTCTTAGTTAAAAAATGGCCATAATTCTGTAAAAATCCACATTACAGTTATCGGTCTTGAAGAGTGTGTGACCCATTCTCCTCAGTAATGTTGGACGTACCAACTTTCAAACAAACACTAAACTTAAAACGTAAACAAAATGTGACGCCAAAGCAGAGAACAGGATGCGTACAATATCTCTTAATTTTCTTCGATAGTGAAGCTCAAAAACTAGAGTATTCTTCAGTTCTTCGAGAACATGACCCAAACTGCTGGGATCAAATTGAGTATTTTGTAAATGTTTCGCTCAAAATTGTGAATATACATGTTGGGTTAATGCCTGTATCACTTCCAAGTAAGAAAACATTGCCCTTTTTTGAGACATCTCAAATTTTTTTAAATCAATACCCACAATTATTTCAATTGGAAAAATTATATCCTGGAAAAACTGGTAAAAATATTCTACTTTTTTGGATATCAGACTGGTGACGTCATTAGTTGTAAATACTTTAGCTATAGTAAGAAAATAGTAATGGATGAAAAGACATTAGTTTCCATGAAAAACTATTTTATTGAGGTAAAGAATTCAAAATTTGATAACATATGCTAGAATATGCAAGAAAAAATATCTGACATGTGTTTATGGTTCAGATCAGAATATCTGTCCTTCCTGTCCTATTCAGACGGATATTTCAATCTGAGCTTGCTACATACGACAGATATTATTATTCTATATTGGACTTATCATCCGATAATGCCTATAAAATAAAATTAACAACACAACGACCAGATAACAAACCTCAGGAACGTCCGTGTAGTCAAACATTCTGAAGACGACCGTAGGTAGCGGGTACATTATCTCCTCGTTGTGAGACGGAGGGATGATCTGGGGTAACGGGTGTTGTAGAGCCTCGCATAAGACGCTGTCAAATGCCAAATACGGCCGCGGCACTTGCTTCTCGATCCATTTGTTGTTCCGCAAATTCTTAATCTGCGCCCAAAGACAGTCCAAGTACTGAAATATATAAGAAATAGTTAAATAAATAGAACACAAGTTGATTTTACCAGAGGAATGCTTCGCAGAACTTGCACTGTATATAAAATTTGTGTTTGGATATTTATTTAAATAAATTTCAATGTACAACTTCTTTCTGTCAAATCTAAGGATTTCCTTACATGGGGATTGGACAACTGATGACTATTCTTTAACTGAAAATATACAGTAATGCTTCAGTTCCATTTTTAAAAATATTTTAAAATCATTAATGTTCAGGAGAAAATAACTTGTAAGAACACGTTCAGTTGCTCAAATTTTGATTGCAGAATTTTAATAACGCCAAAACTTGCATTGTAATAATATAATAACTATGATAACAAATAAATGAACAAAGTTGGCCCTCTGTGTTTAATTTCAGGCGCAAGGAGGTACTGAGTAGAACCACTGACCTTCTGTATGCTAACTATACAGCTTCCTCGCATGAAAGAAGTCCATTGCTGGATTCATTACCACAGCAGTGACTGGCAAGTGACTGGAGATCTTAACTTCCTAGGAGGCCACTTGTACCACTTAGAGTATAATAGCTTTTTTACTGTACAAATTTAACTTTAAATCTAAGATAGTTATACTTACCTCTTCTTGTGGGTGGGGAGTATCTGTAGACCACACCCTTAATGCTGGTACATGTATCTTCTGTCTTTTACTGAAAAACACAATACAGAAAATAAATTTTTTTAGTTTGTGTGACGTTAAGATATTAACAAAACCTTTCCGCAAACAGTACGCTCCACGTTTCTGATTTTCTCAGTCATATGGGTATAAACATGTCTACCTAGTTTGAGGTGAATAGCTTTAAACGTTCCTGAGAAATTGGACGTTATCGAAAAGGTTAACCAACGCCGACACTTATGTTTACAAGAGGGTCATGATAATACCTTCACTTTTTTCTTAAAAGAAATATGGATTTAAAAATAAATAATTGCTTATCTTAACAGGTGTTTGTATTACTTCAAAACCTATCCACTGGATAATGAGCTACAAAATAAGATATTTCACCCTAATTTTTATTTTTCAGGGGCAAATATCATAACACAAACTGATACAGTATTTCAACCATAAGAAATTCAAAAGACAACATAGCCATTAAAACAAACAACATTTGAGCCGCGTCACAACAAAACCATGGGTTTGCGACCAGCATGGATCCAGACCAGCCTGAGCATCTGCCCAGTCTGATCAGGATCCATGCTGGTCGCAAACGCACTATGTTGGTTATATCAACACGGATCATTTGTTTATTTTACACCACATCAGAATTTTTGGTGATACAAACTTGCACGAAAAAACTTAACTAATAGCTCTCTGTAGTCTACGAATAATCATGCTAAAATAAAAAGTAAGCTAGCAGCATCACCTAAACACCTACCTTATATAACCATCTATAGTGACCAGTAACTTCTGAAACTCCATCTCTTTCTTTTCATACATCTCTCTACCAACCTTTAAACATACAACAATTTATGTCAACACCATTATGAGATAATGTTTATGAACTTAAAATATCCAGATAAATAACAGCATTAAAATCTAAATCCTGGTACCAAATGAGTCATGTTGAAGATCTTCATCTAAGGGCATGCTCCATCAAGTTTTTCTCTGTCAATTTATTATTCTTCTAAAATAAAGTCATTAAATCAGTATAGTTAATGAAATACTGAAGTATTAAGGTGATATAACAAAGAATGGTTCCAGGTACTTACCCACGGTAGTGACGTCAGTACGGCATACACATACCAGTCTGATCTCACCTGAAATAGACATCAAATAATCAAGGTATGCATTTTATTTTCAATAAATAAGTCAATGGTCAATAGTTCATGTTAATAAGTGACTGTGAAGGGTGTCATATTCTTTAACTTTACTTATTAATCCAATGCTATCTAGTTAACTTATTTAAACTCATCCCTTCAATAGTTTTGGAGATATACTAACTTGCACTTAAAAACTTAACCACTGTTAATCCGACACCAAAGTCTGGCTGAGTACAACAGCTCTCCAAATTCTTTGAATAGTAGAGCTTAAAAACTTGTTTAACATGTCAGTATCAAATTTTAAATTAAACAAGCAATTATCATAGTATTGCAAGCTATCCATAAGTCCCCTACCGGTTAGAACCCCATCAACATTCTGAAGGGCCATTGGCCATTCACTAATGTTTCAATTTTTCTCTATTTTAAAAAAATTTGTTGGAAAAGTTCTTTAAAAGTGATCACAGGATACAGTTTTTATGAACAGACAGACAGACAGACTGAACGACACTCTAAAGTTAATATTTGAAACATCCCTGTTACCAAAATATACCATTTTAAAAGCAAAATTCTTAAAGAGGAGATAACTCTTGAATTAAAGATGCAATTTCATAAAAATGTTCAGCTCTTTTTGACTAATCACAAATGTTGTTATATTTGCCATGTTTTCAGTCTATTTGTTGCCAAGGCAACTGATATTTTCAAAATAGGAAGAACAGATAAGGCCTGCATAATCTCAAGACTGCTATCTACCCATAAGTCAAGTTTCATAAAAATATTTCCAGTACTTTTTGAGTTATCACTGGATTCAGTTTATGTGTAAAATTTGCCATATTTTCAGTCTATGTGTTGCCATAGCAACCAGAATTTTCAACATAGGAAGAAAAGAAAAAAACGTGCATAATTTCAAGACTGCCATCTACCCATATGTCAAGTTTCATAAAAATATTTCCAGTACTTTTTGCGTTATCACTGGATCCAGTTTATGTGTAAAATTTGCCATATTTTCAGCCTATTTGTTGCCATAGCAACCAGAATTTTCAATATAGGAAGAAAAGAAAAAGACGTGCATAATCTCAAGACTGCCATCTACCCATATGTAAAGTTTCACAAAAATATTTCCAGTACTTTTTGCGTTATCACTGGATCCAGTTTATGTGTAAAATTTGCCATATTTTCAGCCTATTTGTTGCCATAGCAACCAGAATTTTCAACATAGGAAGAAAAGAAAAAGACGTGCATAATCTTCATACTGCCATCTATCCATATACCAAGTTTCATAAAAATATTTTCAGTACTTTTCAAGTTATCGCGGGATCCAGTTTTGCGGACGGACGGACTGACGGACAGACGGACGGACGGGCGGACAGACGGACGGAGGGTAAACCTAAAGTCCCCTCCGGTAAACCGGTAGGGGACTAACAAGCTATGCTTATAAAATTTTGTTATATAAAAAAGTTAAGTTACAATCCAAATAACCTGTGGTATGTTATCTTCTAATGTCACTTCAATAAAATTGTCAAACATGGCAAGCAGGGAACCGGCTACTATGACTCGGCAGTTTACAAGGTCAGCTATGAACCGGATAATAAGTCTGGCAGACTCAAATTCTTCGGTTTTAAGAGCCTCTTTCATATTTCGCACCAGCATTTCGACAAACTGTAGAATTAATATATCATAGACATTAAATTCTGTACTTATTTGTAGTCATTCACTTCAAAACAATTCAATTTCATATAAATTGTAACAAAAAGAAGTGTTGGCCAACTATCAGTACCTGCTTCTTGACAGCTTTTATCAAAATTTATCTTAATTACAACACACAGACATGCTGCCTCACATGACACCAGTGCTGATTATTATGTACTGTTTTTAATAAATTCATTTAAAGGCACATTATGCCTCAGGAATATATAAATATTTTTTCGGTAGTAAATGTGCTATATTATAATGTATAAACAAATTTAGAACATGTGAGAAGAATGTAACCTGAAAAATAGCACTAAATGTGAAGTATTTGTGACAAAAGAGGCAAAATGTAACAAAGTGGTATTTTGACTCCCATACAAAGAAGCAAATAATATACAGCAAATCAACACTATATTTATACAAATTGCCAAAATGCAACAGATAACTTAATAGGCCTTTAAGAGTTAACAAATAAGCTTACAGTGCTTGCAAGATCCAAACTACAATATTAAAACAAAAAATTGTGTAGATCAGGATATATTTACCTCCCCTCCAAAATTGTAATTTTTGGCATTCAGGAGACCAACCAAGGTTGTGTATACAGCCTGTTTCTCTGGTAATTTCACAGCACTGAAAAAAAAACCACAACAATCATATGAACTTGCTGTTTGACTTCTGAAGCAGGTTATGTGAGTGCTTCACGGTAACATTTTATCTTGAATACACAATTTTCACTGTCCGACAATTTCAACCATCAAGTTTTAAGCACTTTAACATAGTGATACTGGGTATTAATAAACAGGTGTTAACTTCATATTTACTATTAACATGAACAACACAAAGCCAAAGCAATATTTGCACAAATGAAATTTGAGAAGTCAAAAATAATTTTTTAACAAGGCAAAAACTTGTCCATGAAATTTGCTTGAAAACATATTTTATCTGAATTATCCTTATGATCCTTATGAAGTTAAGAGGAAGCAAAAACCAGGTTAGGCTTAACATTCTTAATTTCTTTCCAGATCTGGCAGACAGGAAATAACTAGCAGACAGATAGCACAAAATTAAGCATCATTCTGTTTTGGGTTGTATAATATAAATTAAATTTTGTACCATTCACATAAAATCCTGATAATTTTTGTTTTGTAATTGGGTAAATCAGCTTCCAGCACACTTGCTAGACCTTCTAAATTACTCTCCAATGATGATGTACTCTGAAATATATAAATAAATTTTATGATGGTCTCCATAATAAGCATTCTGTATAAGAAGATTAATATTAAGTAAAAGGTAAGGTTGATATACATTAAATATTTTAAAATTTCTACTTCAATATAATCAAAGTAATTTATCAACCAGGGCTCTCTATATGGTAAAATTTGGGGCCGAATATGGGCCCCATTCCCCATAAAAATAGTGTAATTTTTTCCCACTAAAACCGAAAAAATTCCCCCTCGAAAATAATATTCAATGGCCATAGATCAGGGATCACATTTTTATGTTGAATTTTTATACAAAGTATCAAAGATGTATTCAATTTCATTGGAAATAATCAAAAATATTACATGACATTTGTTAACTGATTCTTGTTATCACTTGTTTTAACCCTTTACCTCATATATACGCGAAACAACGCACTTTCGACACCCCCCCCCTCCCCTCTTTCAGGCCTAAAATAGTGAAAAAATGTTCTATTAGGGCCCCAAACACATGTTTTTGTTTGAGAAATGCTGCTAAAAAAAGTGAGCACTATTTCGGCGCCGGCCCCCATCCAAAAGATACATCAGGGGGTTGCCAGAAGGGGGATGTGCCAAGAAAATTTTGGACTTGTGAGAGGCTAACTAGAACTCCGCGAGTCGGATGTGTCGCCTTGTGAACAATGTAGTTTAGGGGAAATGGCCAGGACAAAAATGAAATATGAAAAATAACAAAGGGCAATAACTAAAAAAATAATACGTGCAGAGCAGCAGTTTCTGTACACTGCACTTCTTATCAATAAGATCTACCATTCTATGATGTTTCAAGTCCATAGCTTTCATACTTGAAAAAGAAATGACCAGGACAAAAATAAAGTAAGAAAATCAAACAAAGGGCAATAACTCAAAAAATAAGAAATGCAGAGTATCAGTTCTTATGCACTGCACTTCTTTTAATGAGATCTATCATCCTATGAAGTTTCAAGTCCATAACTTTTATACTTTCGGAGAAATGGCCTGGACAAAAATTAAGTATGAAAATTAACAAAAAGGGCCATAACTCAAAAAATTAAGAAATGCAGAGTACCGATTCTTGTGCACTGCACTTCTTAATAATGAGATCTATCATCCTATGAAGTTTCAAGTCCATAGCTTTTATACTTAAGGAGAAATGGCCCGGACAAATTTAAAGTATGAAAATAAACAAAGGGCAACACGAGCCATGTCAACATGGCCATCCCCCGCCGAATGTGTTTGCTCATTGGAAGAATGTATATGTAGTAGAGCAGAATAACTCCATTTTAAGAGGTCTTTTGGTAATGAAAACTGATGGCTATAGTGATTACAGATTTGAAACCTATGTGAATACTGATGGCTGAAAATAACAAAGGGCAATAACTGAAAAATAAATGCAGAGTAGGTTATCATTCTTGTGTGCTGCATTCCTCCTCAGTAAAATCTATCCACCTATGAAGTTTCAAGTTGATACCGTTAAATACTTTTTGAGAAAAAAATTGAATTGAAAAATTAAGTATGAAAAATAACAAAGGGCAATAACTCAAAAATTATAAAAGGTAGAGTTTTTCATTCTTGTGCAGTGCACACCTCCTGAGTGAGATCTATGCACCTATGAAGTTTCATTTTGATATCTCAAAGGCTTTTTGATTTATGCTCTGGACAAAAATTAATTTTGAAAAATAACAAAGGGCAATAACTCAAAAAAAATGCAGGGTAGAGTTATCATTCTTAAGCACTGCACTCCTCCTCAATGAGATCCATCCACCTTTGAAGTTTCAAGTTGATACCTCAAATACTTTTTGAGATAAGCTCTCTGGACAAAAATAGCATGAAAAAAACACAAAGGGCAATAACTCAAAAATTGTATAGGAAAGAGTTATCATTCTTGCGCACAACATTCCTCCTCAATAAATCTATCCACCTATGACATTTCATGTTGATATCTCAAACACTTTTTGAGTTATGCTCCACTCAGGTGAAAAATTAGGTATGAAAAATAAACAAAGGGCAATAACTCAAAAATTATGAAAGGTAGAGTTATCATTCTTGTGCACTGCACACCTCCTGAGTGAGAATCTATGCACCTATGAAGTTTCATGTTAAAATCTCATAGGCTTTTGGAGTTATGCTCTGGACAAAAATTAATTTTGAGAAAAATAACAAAGGGCAATAACTCAAAAATCATGCAAGTAGAGTTATCATTCTTGTGCACTGCACTCCTCCTCAATGAGGTTCTATCCACGCTTATGAAGTTTTCAAGTTGATAATCAAATTTACTTTTAGAGATATCCCGGAAAAACAAGAAAAAATGTCGGGGTCGGGGTGTTTTTTTTAAAAATGGGACACTTTTTTCTTACGGAACGGAAAAAAAATTTTAAATTTTCTATAAAATCCTCCGCCGAAAATTTTCCGCGGGGAAATATAAACTAAAAAAAGGTAAGAAATGCAAAAAGAGTAAACCAAGTTCTTTGCACGTGCACTTCTTCTTTAATGAGAAACCTATCAAATGCTCAAGTGAATGTTCAAGTGCTGTCCTTGGCTTTGTTATAACTGATAGGAAAGATGGTCCGGACAATAAAGATTTAAAAGTATGAAAATTTAACAAAGGGGGCAATACTCCCAAAAGATTAGGAAGTGCAGAGTGACTGGGTTCTTTGCACGGTGGGCATTTCTTCCCTTTAATTGAGATTTAAAACATCCTTGAAAATTTTAAGTCCATAGGGGTTTTTTAGTGAGAGAAATTTCCCCGGACAAAATAAAAATATAAAAATTTAAAAAAAGGGCAATAATCAAAAAAAAAAACTGCAGTAAAACCGGGCCTTGGGCCCGCCCCTTTTTGGGTTAATTGAAAGAAGCATGCGATACCAAGTTTAAGCAAAACAACTTTTTTAGGAAGATGCTCCCACACATTTTGGGGGAAGGGACAACGACGCCGACAAAAGACCCGCCGGGCGCCGACCCGCCAACAAAAGGGGAAAACCCCCCATAGCACCTTTTTAAAGGGGACACAAAAAAAGACCCCAGGTCGACAAAGGGGAAAAGTGTAACCCAACGCCCTGAAAAAAGGGCCTATTTGACTTCTAAATTTAATCCCTTGAAAAATTGGCAGCACTTTGAAAATAAATTTCGATGGAAAAAACCAAGGCAAAATAGTGATTTTTGGCAATTTTTGAGACGTTTCCCCCTCGTTGCCATGGTTAACAGGAAATTTAAGACTGATCATGTTCGTTACAAAGGCAAATGGTCCAGGCAACATTGTGCCAAGTTTGATTAATATTTGAAGCATTTTTCATAGTTTCATAGCAGTTTGAACTTGTAACAGGAGGCTTTTCAAATGAAAACGGGGCCATTTTTCACAATATGCTATGTGGGAAAGGGGTAAAATGGAATTAATTGTTGAAATTCCCCTCTTGAATGAAAAAAATTTGAAAATCATGCGGAAATTCCCCCATGCATGGACCCTGGCCAATCTCCCCTTTTT